TTTTTTTAAATGTAAGGCCAGGCACAGTGGCTCATGCCTGTAATACCAGCACTTTGGGAGGTAACCCCCCATATAGGCACCGAGGAATGAGAGCTAAGCAGAGCCCTGGCACAGTTAGGGCTTGAGGAATATCTCACTTTATAGTATTACTATTCAGCTAGTTCCTTTTATATAATCCTTTACATAATCATATATTAGTTTATAGAAATAGGGCTGGAAGTCTCCCTTTATATAATCCTCTATATATAATCATATAATAGTTGATAGCATGAGTGCCTAAAGAATATTTCCGGGCCGGGTGCGGTGGCTCACGCCTATAATCCCAGCACTGTGGGAGGCCGAGGTGGGTGGATCACGAGGTCAAGAGAGTGAGACCATCCTGGTCAACATGGTGAAACCCCGTCTCTACTAAAACTACAAAAAATTAGCTGGGCATGGTGGCGTGTGCCTGTGGTCCCAGCTACTCAGGAGGCTGAGGCAGGAGAATTGCCTGAGCCCGGGAGACGGAGGTTGCGGCGAGCCGAGATTGCGCCATTGCACTCCAGCCTGGGTAACATGAGTGAAACTCCGTCTCAAAAAAAGAAAAAAAGAAAAAAAAAGAATATTTCCCTACATATATACCTATAATTATATCTTAGTTCATAATCGGAGGAATGCCTAAAGTGGACACAGTACAGAGCATGAATTAAGGAATAAGAAGCTTATAATCGGTTAAATACATAGAGCAGACACAGTGCAGAACATGAATTAAGGGGAAAACAGTTATACCAGGACAAGAATCCATGGCCCAGGCGACAGCGTTCAGTATCGTAAAGATACCCGCTGTATGGCAGGCTTGGGGCGAGAGCCACTCCTCCTCATAAAGGGGTTGTAGGACCTTGCTCCAGTTCTTGTGGAGGCTGCCCTCAGAACGGCAATCCATCATGGTGATTGTGAACTTTATCAGCTCCTGCTACTGTGCTGCTTGAAAAGCGTCTTCCCATAGAACCCATTGGAAGCTGCCAGAAGGTGGCGGTAACCTTGACAGCTCTGTCACTGCTATGTGACTTAAAGCATCCTCCCATAAATCTTAGAAGTAGTTTCCCATAGATAGAAGTATGGCACACTTTACCCTCTTCACTGCGCACGGCCCACCTTCAAGCCTCGGTGACCTAATGGGGATGGACCCCTTAGTGCACACGGCTCTTGCCTTCATAGGAACAGACCCCTTGCTGCGCACTGTCCACCTCCTGGCCTAGGTACCCTAATGGGGGTAGACCCCATGTTTTATTGCTCATGACCCTATCACTATCCTTAAAGATGATTTCACTCACTGCCCTGCCCCCTAACCTATACACAATAAATACTCATGCTTCTGGACAAATTCGGGGCCTCGCCTGACTCCGCTTGTAGGTGGCATAGCCCTCTGGGCCCAGCTGCGTTTTCTTTGTACTTCTGTGTCCTGTCTCTTTATTTTTTGGATCCTGCGCCTCAGCACAGCATAAGGCACACCCCACGACCCTGTGGGGCCCTCAGCCTTACATCTGGCTCCAACGTGTCCTACAGGCCGAGGCAGGCGGATCTCAAGGTCAGGAGTTCAAGATCAGCTTGGCCAACATGGTAAAATCCTGTCT